ACATCTTTCATTTTCTTACAGATAATTATTTTGGAGAAAACGCTGTTATAAAAAATATATGCGTTATAATGTCGATAAATAGCTTTGCTTAATTGTAACAAGTGATAATGTAAGACGTGAAAATACTGCACAACATTATTGAAAGAATCGTTTAAAATATTGCGATCTAAATTTGCATTCTTTTTAATCCGAGCATTTCTACTCATATATGACACGTGTAATCTGTGCGATCGACAGATTACAAACGGATTAAACATATATATCCAGCACGTATGTATATCTCCATCTATATCGGTCACTAAGACCCTTCTTCGCGCTTCTGGCATTCCAATAACGCGTCGTGCGAGATCGTGGAACGTAAACGGCAGCCGAGAGATTGAAAGCTTCGCGCGCGATTCTACCCTCGGAAGCGAGGGTGGATGTCGAGAAGTTCGGAAAGTAGAGGAAAGGGAGAGGGCGAGAGTGAGAGAAGAGGCGCGCAGCGCACACGTAGGACGAATGTAACTTGTGGGGAGATCGAATAGGGCTTGTAGTTAGCAGCCCTCTCTCCTCTCATGCTTCGTCCTCCTTCGTTGCCTCGCACTTTCGATCTGGACTCGTGCGGCGCCGGTCTCACGGCAATACGAATCAGTTTCCTCGCGAGTTTATATTCATAACGAATAAATTATTCAGCCCGGCGCTGGGATTCGAGCCCATCGGGAAGTGTAGGCCCGTCACGTCGCTCCGCATTATCCACCTAATCGGAGAACGTGCTGGCGAAAAAGCCTCTTTCGGTCGCGAGCACTCGCTCGCCGGTCGATAAAACTGGGTTCGGATTCGATGGTCATTTTTGTCGCTGAGTTGTTGAGCGAAATGAAAGCCGATGGAAATAAAATTTTCACGCGCATCGATCATCACGAGAGATTGAATAAAGTAGAACATTGTAGAATATAAATACTTAACTTCTGTGTTACAAATCTTCTTCAGATTTCTACTACCAGGGGAGATAATTTTATCACATAAAATTGAAGACAAAGTTACTTACTTGATATGAAAATATGATACACTGTGTTAGCTTGTATTATTAGCTTTGTAGTGAAAGTAAATCGATATGATTTCCACTTTTTGTGTACCGAATATTTGGCTTAGCGTAATGGTTAACATGGCAAGTGCGTGCTTTTTCAGGTATACTGTTACGTCACTCCACATTTTAAAAGTGAATTACTTTTTTTCAAACAATTTCACGGAACGAAAAAGGGGATTAATAGGGAGCACTTAGAATAAATGTAGAAAAATATCAGTTTCGGTCACGGATGGCAGTGCACTGGAAAATCCGCGCGCTGTCGCGGGGCATGCCTTTCCGGCGTTTCCGAGTGAGAAATAATTAGCAGGTTTCGTCACCCGGCACGTATATCCGGCCGCGCGTTGCAGCGACCGCGCTTTGAATACGCTCCCCCTACTCCTCTCGCTCCCCCCTCGCCCGGAAGCGAATATCGCGCGTTTATTGCAACGCCGAAAACTGCGACCTACCGTAGGATACAGGTTAAAAGCGCAGTTAAAGCGGTAGGAATAGAGCTTGTGCAAATTCTGTAATGCCGAATACATCGACGTGCATTAATCATCTCTAATTATAATTAAACGAATCTTCCTGCGAAGCTGGTGATTAGGAAGTTAAATAATTAATCAACCAGATGTATTAGGCTTGAGATAAAATTTGAAATTACTAAAAGAAGAATTTTAAACTTCAAAATTGAAAGGACGCTAATTAAAACTTTTGCATAAGATTCTTCTTTCGTTGAATATTTTAGCGATTGTTCTAAATTTATGATTTATTATTGAAATAATATTACGTACATGTCTTCTCCATGCACTTCGAGGACTTTCCAAGAACCGTTTACACTTCGCCCGTTCAAACTCTCGACTTCACTCGATTTCACTTACTGCATTTTAGCACCTTTCGTCTGACAGTTTTTAGTTATTTTTAGTTATAGTTTTCCGATTCGCTGGGACTATCTAGTTTTCCGCTGCGATCGAGTCTTTCAAAATTAGAGGATGCATTATTTCACGCGTTCCTAAAGAGGAACGTCGATAAGGCGAAGTCGGTCGACTGGCTTTATCCACTTCTCTAATTTCGCGCGATGTGTTCCTGCTGACCGACAAAAGCCTGATTAAAGCTTTACTTAATCATTAAAATATTCCATTAACGCCGCGGGTGTTCTTTGAGATGCGCGAGACGATGGCAGGAGCGAGAGAAAGAGAGAGAGAGAGAGAGAGAGAGATGAGGAAAGGGCGAGATCGGTCCCTGATGGGAGAGAGGGGGAGAGGAGCCTTATTAAGGGTGGCTCTTCCGCCTGCTGGAGCGCTTAAATTTCAGAACGTCGTTCTACGAAACACGGGCGACATCGTTAAGGCACGGCCGTCGAGATTAAAGGCTTTCCCGGATTCGAGAGATTTCAAGTCCGGGATTGTCCGCAATTAGTGCGGAACGAGGGGCAAGGCGACGGCGGCGGCGGCAGCGACGACGACGACGACGACGACGACAACGATGGCGAGCTCCTTCAGGAAACTACAGAAAGCTTCCTGCGTGGAGAGGACGAAAGAAAGGTAGGAACGTTAACGAGAAGAATCTTAAGATGCGTCGCGATCGTTATCGACCCTTCTTCTTCTACTTTGGGCTCTCGGCTGTCTGAAAGATGATTGCATTCGCTGCCGCCGCCAGACAAACGTACAGCAAGAAGACGTCGAGAAGCTCGTAATTGATAGTTTTTCCTTGTACTCGTCAAGTTTACCGTCTTTATATATCATTAAGGGAGTTATTACGGAGACGGATGATACAGAGTTGACTTTCGCGATTAATTACCGTCCTTAAGCGAGATAAATGGCAGCGTGGAAATCGGAGAATCTTTTTATACGCTTTCATAGAAGCGCTATTTTTCGTTGATCTATAACAAACAACTGCATTTCAAATGCGTCACATCTACGATACATGTATGATTGCTAAATGAGATAATTTAATGATATTATTTACGGCATGAATATAATGCAAAATATGTTGCTCTTTCCTGTACTGAAATGTTAAATAAGTCAGAGTTCCATTTTACAATAATGGTATGTTGCGCGAATATTATTTTAATGCGTAAATAATGTGCAAATAATGATAAATGGACATCGACAAATTATTCGCACACATCTAGCTGTTTGCGAATTCACGTTTTTTAGTAGATGGAAAAATCGATTGGCTGTGTTTCATAACAAAATTTTTTTTGGATATTGTTCTTATATCCGTCGTTTATTTTTCTTCAAGAGTTTGTTTTAAAAAAACCTATACTATAATTTTTCTACAACGTGCACCGCATGTTACCTCGAGTACCAAGAGCCATAAAATGTATGGAAGACAGGAAAAGATAATCTAAGGAAAAATATTCCGCTTAAGAAAACGTTGCACGATCGATTTGGCATTTTTCTTTATGGAAAAAACTTTTTTCTGCAATATGCTTTTTCTTAAATCGCGTATTTGCACGATTATCGCTTCGTGTATCGCAGGTGCCACACGAAATTCTCGTCTGAGCGCATCTACGTATGAATTTCACTCAGTTTCCTTTCAATCGCACAACGGGCTTGTTACCGTGCAGTTTCGTGAATTAGATTTCCGCGAGTGTCACGTGTTTGCGCGCGCTTGCGACCGCTCTATCTCGTTTCCAGTGAAACTTTTCGAAACACACATCACCGAGCGCACCGTAGACACGGTAGAACACGCGCGTTTACACGCACAGGAAGTTGGACGGCTGTGCTGAAATTGTTTCCACGGGAAAATAGTATGGACGTGCGGTAACCGGCGTCACGATAGCGCGCGTACGCGCCGTACATTCCGCCGCGACATAAAACTTTTGCGCGAACAAATTTACGCCGCCGATACGTTTCGATTGCTTCAATTATATTACAACGTCGCATCACGCTGAATAAGACAGTTTTTATAATGTAGTTTTTGCATCTAGGGCATTTTACTGCATTTCACATTAAAAGCATTTGATAATAGTAACGGACAAACCGTAAAGGGCAAATCTAAAATGCAAATTATCGCTTCAAGCTGTTTGATTGGCGTGAAATACGCAACTTTGAGTTTACCGCACTCAAGATGCGGTATTCCAAACTCATGTCTGAATCTGAACGTGGTAAACGAAATTTATGGTATACGCTGTTCGGGAGTCACGTGCACAGAGGTGAAGTAGATCCGAAATAGAAATGTGATTGGCACCTAAATATAAATCTTATCTTTACCTTTTAACTCGACTTATTCGAGATGTGATACTAGGGAAAATTATTATTATTTTTTTTTTTTTAATAAAACTCGCGATAACTTCTTGCGACGGTAGGAGCGTTTCCATCCTCTATAAAATTTCCGTCGTAAAATACCTATCTAGCGACGACACCGCCGTGTTTCCTAAATAAGCACGGATCTCTCCTGGAAAAACTCACATTCTGAGCTGAAGATTTAATAGAAAATCGACGGAGATAACGGCAAAGTCGTTAAGCCGCATCGAACGCATATTTTCGATTAATCATAACAGAACGAGAAAGAAAATCCTCTTCTCGCTGCTATCACGAGATAAAACCTCGTGAAAGGGCTAAAATTCAGCGCACGTGTCCCTCGGATCCGGCATGTAGATATATAATATAATCTGACATTCTATATAGGACTGCGAGGAAGTTTGAAAGTGCGGTCATTTAAATTCACTCTTCCCTGTCGGTCCCTTTTCCCATCGGCCGCACTAGTAACGTCAATCTTTATTACCTAAACTTCCATTTCCTGTCCGTATTAAAGAGGAACGTTATAATTCAGCTGTCATTCATATTCAATAAACTCAAATTAGCGATACAATTATGAGATTGTTAAAAGATTCTTCTTACGACACAATGCTTTTTCTTTCTCTGATATTCATGCCTAATTTTTTTCTACTTTTTTCACCGACGAGAATTTGATTCGTAATGGGAGAAAATAAGACAAACTAGAGAGGATTTACCTGCAAAGATTAGGCAGCGGGCCAGCATCCTTCGATCCTGTAGTCGAGTTCTATGCTCGGCCGAACTCGGTGCCTAATTTCCAGACACGGACGATGATGCACCGTCGTCGCTTCAGCGTCACCCTGACTCTCGTGATCCGCCGTCGTTCTCGTCGTCGTCGTCGTCGTCGTCGTCGTCGTCGGCGACGCGCAGCGCGGGTACGTGCTGGTGGTGTTGATGGTGGCCGACGACGAGGACGAGCAGCGCGGTGTCGTCGTGGTGTCGACGGCGATGCTGTGGCGAGTGCACGCGGTGCATACACGGCGCGCGGCCAGTCCGAAAGCCGGTCGCGTTCAGATATCGCGCGACGGGATTCGCGGGGGTGAGATAGCGCGGAGATCCGGGAACACGGGGGATGCAGGAGGGGGAGGAGAGGAGGGCACAGAGATAAGTAGACCCGTAGAGCGGAAGAGGTCCGGCGGAAAACGCGACGCGCGTCTACTACCTCTCGCGACGAGAGTCTTTGGCCTCCGGCACCGTCGGCCACGACTGATCGCGCCGGGTAACCCCCGCACACCCCCCCTTGCGAGTACCCGGGGCGCATGCGTGCCACCCTCTTTGCTCTCCTCTCCCATCCCCGTCGTGCGCGGGGTGGTTGCCCCTCTTCGTGGAGTCTCTCTCGCGCGAACGCTGGCTTCCGCCAGGGGGGCGTTCGGTGGGTGGCGGGTGGACGGTGGTACAGGTGATAGGACGGAGGGAAGAGAGGGTGCACTCCCGCACACGCACGAGATAGCAGACGTGATTTAGCCATTTACCGGAGGTGGTGCTTAGGGAATATTAGATGGTAAAGGGAGGTGCGATTTTTTATTGTCGCAAATAGCAACAGCTGTTACATCAATAGTATAATGGCAATGATTGTCTTCAATTGATTGTTACTTTCCGGACTGCAAGCCGTGAAGAAAATATAAAGATGTGTTGAAGAGAATTTATTTTATCTGATTTTACTTTATCGGATTTGGATTTCCTTCTTCCATCTATATTATAGACAGTATTACGGTTTCTTTTATTTGAAACTCACTCACTCACTCACTCCCGTGAGTTGATTTCTGTTGAATGGTAGACAGATGGATAGATACAGGTATAGAGTAGACGAAGAACGAAAGGCAAGACGCCGCCGCGGTCGTAGATACGGAGCTCATCACGTCGAGGAGATAGCGTTCTCAAATAGTATACGGGATTTAACCATTCGCTGGAGTGGTACTTCGTGCAGTGGCTAGAGAATGTTGCTTAGTAAGAGGTAGCGGTAATTTTCTTGTTGCGAGTAGCCTCAGGATCTGTTACTGTAGCTGTCTGTTATCCTCGATTAGCTATCACTTTCTAGATTCTGACTAGTCTATCTATTTGTGATTTACCAAGAAAATCTGTTGCCTTTGTAAATACAACACATTAAATTATTTAAGATACCTTATTAGCGATCTAGATACGCTAAAAATGACAACAGATTTCTGCAAAATTATATTTAAAAATTACAGGCTGTGTTAAGAGTTAATATTGAAACATTTTCTTTAACAGTTATATATTTGGAATAAATACATATTAAAAATGAGAAAAACAAATAAAATATTTTGTAATTCTATAACATAATCGGTTGTGATAAATTTCATCATGTAGCGACCGCGGCATGTGGTAGAAATGATGGATGTGTGGTTTTAAGGATTAAAACTTGAAACTCGAGCATAAGAACCAGTATCGAGAATGTTATTTTCTAAAATTCAAATCACAACGAGAAACAAAAAAGTGAATGTAATATTGTAGTAATCGTACAATGTAGTAAATTTTAGCAATTAATTTTTTATTTGGTTTTAAATCAGTTTCTATACTTTGCTATCTATTTTTTATTCAGTAAAATAATGTAACAAAAGAAAAGATTTGTATACATCGAGTTTCTTAAGGTGCAATTAAACACTTTGCAGGGGAAGAATTCTCAAATACAAATAGTCATTCTTTAGCCGCCGCGTTTATGATGAATCTGTATGCGGCGAGAGGTAGACGAGGAGGGGTGAGACGCAGGTGTCACAAAAGACGAAAGGGAGTAGTGTTCGTATTCTGTGGTCGTAGCAGGCGCGAACCCTCGGCGGCATTGCTCCGTGTGTATAATACCCTCGCGCATGCATAAATTATCCGCGAAACCGCGAAGCCTATGTATTTCCGACTGTGTCGTGCGTTATATTTCATGCCGGAACAAATGCCGTCTTGCGCGCGCGTGCGTCTGTGAATCGCCACTCTAATTAATTAGCTGTCTATCTCTTTCCTTAATTTATTATGGAATTTATTTAATTTTTTATGACGCGCTCTTGCTATACACTGGAGAGAAACGTCAAGAACATTTTTCACTCCTTTCTATTTTTCGTACTTTCCTGCCGTATGCAAATGAATTTTTACTACACTTCATTTCCACTACTATTAACCGTACGCTCTTCGTTTCTATCTTCATAATTATATTTTACATCGCATTGCAGTTTTGCTTCGATTTATTCGAAGCTATCTATCCGACGCTACGCCATTTCCCGTTCTCCATTCTACAGATGGTGAAAAGAAAGGTTCTAGATTGTACTGATCTTGTTCGTTTCAATCTCCACGTTGGAGAAAAGAGTCCGGCGATCGATCGCGATGTTTAATTATCCGACTACGCGTTTTACGGTCCGGAGGAGCCTTTTCGCGACGTGTCTCGCGTCATGTTGATCACCGCTGGCGCGAGCACTTATCTGCTGTCGTGGGAACGCCCACGCAATAGGAGACTGTCATCGTCGATGGTGGTAGTGTCGCGCGCAATAAAGCTCCGGTGACCGCGGGGATAGCGACGGGAATGAGGCGGCCGAAAGTTTCCATGTTAAGCGGCGGGATGCTTGCAAAGCAAACTCGGATCATAAAAGGTAGATGTGGAAGTGCGCGCGATGAAAACAGACGAATGAAACGCGGAGAAAAAGGAAGAGAACAGCTATTCTCGTATGAATTATTGATAATTAGTATGAATAATATAGCTCGCGAGTAATATATAGAAGCGTTTGTTATGAATAATTCTGTCGAATGAGCTTTTTATTTATGCTGTAATTGTGCGTTATCTCATCACTCATCGTCGTTATTCAGTCATCATTATTCATTAATCGTTCATCGCCGTGAGTAATAGTAATGTAATTTAATTTATTATCGATATTCCATTAGCCACTGATAGTCTTAATGGTATCATTGTGATATATTTTTATTATTCCATCTGTGGATTCGAATTGAGCCAACCCGTACGGAATCTGCGCCTGACCTTGTTTTTTAATATAATCTTTCCGCTACAATTACGCGACGAGAAAGTAATTATTTTACTTAACAAGAGATTCGAATTATCCAGCAATATTTCTTAACGACTTGTTCGCCGTTGTGCAGCGTTACGCTATTTATTCGAGCGCATTCACTGCGAAGGGATTTGTTTCGTCGCCGGAGCGAACGTTTAGCGCGGGGTCGCGGAGTGCGCGAAGTTTAGTGTAATAGTATCGGTGAAACGAAGCTTTCGAGTCGTTCCCTCCTTCGCTCCGTTTCGAGCGTGCACTAGAGCGAGACGATCTCGCGGAGCAATGAGGGGTGGAAG